GCTGAACCACGAAATTAATTCAGTAGTTTTTGTTTGAGAATATTAAACATCAATCTATGTACTTACTTTTCTATGCAGCAAAACTTTACAATTACATGTTTATGTAATAGGGTAGTATCCTAAATTTTATTTTAATGTCCGCCTGTTAGATTATTTTACACAATTAGACACGTACTTTTTCGCTCTTACAAAATTGAGTAACTCTTACTTCCACGATATATTGACTTGAAAGATCGTATAACGTCACGATTTACTACAATTTTTAGGTTTTTTTTAAGGGGGGAAAATCATCGAATGACTCCTCCTGCCTGGGTGAGGCGGGAGGGAGTGTCAGACTCTTACTGACTAAAAATCGCCCTGTTCCTTCTCCTGCACGTCGAGCCGGAGCCCCGGTTACCCGTTAGTTTCTCCGCGACACATTTTTTAGGGTAGCGTGACGTAACGACCTCCCACTCCTAAACTTAACACTGTTTTATCTAAATGTATCAGATTTTTCTTATATAAAAATACATGTCTAGTATTTTTTCATTAGATACTAACTGACGTAGTGTGGGGCGCCCTCCAGCTAGGTGGAGTGACGATATACGTAAAGTGGCTGGTAGTGGTTGGATGCGTAGAGCTGTTATGTCCAGCAGTGAACGAAAACAGGCTGTTGATGAACTGACGGACTAATTACATTTTTAGTTATCATACACTGTCTACTACCCTATTTCCCTGAATGTCAATATAATATATATTTACATAATATATTATAACAAGTCGTGATAAAAAATATTACAAAAAATATGAAGTAGCAACTCGATATATATATATTTAAATATATGCAGTGTCAAAACTATGATCAATAATTAATTCTTCATTTTTTGTTCACTAACGAGGTCTAAATCTTCCACAAGATTAATTTATATTCACTGTGTTGTAAAAGATGTAATCAACTGGGATGGAAGTCTATTAATGTTTAATTAAATATATAAGTGACGTCATAGGTATGGCTAACAACATCATTGACTATCAATACCGCTAATTATACAAAAATTTTTCATCACTACATAGTATATAACAAAGTCGCGATCTGCTGTCTGTCTGTCCTATGTATGCTTAGATCTTTAAAACTACGCAACAGATTTTGATGCAGTTATTTTTAATAGATAGAGTGATTCTTAAGAAAGGTTTATATGTAAGATAAACTTTAAACTTGTACATACATTTTACGTAATTAGTGGTCCATTTTATTCAGAATAAGCTTTTTCCTGAAAGCCACGAGCAATAGATACGTAATAAAAACTTCTGAATTTTGAAGTTATTATGCAGACTCGGAAGCAATTTAATTAAATATTATATATATATATATATATATATGATTAAAATCTATATACACTTACTTACTTCATGTCATTCTCCCATGTGGGTATACAGAGACAATGGAACGCCAAATGCTACAATTCTTACATACCCCTTTCGCTTCATTAACAGTCATCAGTCTTTTAATGCATGCTCATCGGTTAAGGCTACTTTTAGTTTATATTCAAAATTTTATATTTAAAATATATATATATAATTGGGTTTAGTTTCAGTTAGATAAAAAAAATATTAGACACGTATTTTTTTATTTTCTCGTATTAAGTTGCAATACTTTAGTGGGAGGTCGTTACATCATAACGTGCTACAAAATGTGACACGCTGTGACGTCACACGATCGAAAGTATTTAATTTTGTGAGAAAAGAAAAAATACGTGTCTTAAGTTTTAAATTAAACTGTCAAACACCAAGCGGTCACCGGTGACCGCAACCTATTGTTCTATAATTGTGTCTGCAAAACCGGTACTCGACGAGTTAATCTACCAGACGGATATTAATATAAACTTTAGGAAACTACCTTATTGAAATATCTAATTCGCATTATAATCCAGCTTATATAACTTAGAGGTAAAGTACAAATGAACAATAAAATAAATGACATTGTAAAATAATATATGTACAACTAAATCCTTATATAATATCATGTAGATACGTTTTTATGATATCAGAACATTCCAAATTAGGGATGCCAATTCAAACAGTGATTGATGTTCTATTATAGTTCTGATTGTGAGTTTTTATACAAATAATTGGATCATAAATAACCAAACACCACCAATACATTTATGTATACATTTTTTGTACAGCAATTTTGATTTGTTACGCTTTAGGTTGAAAATTTATTGACGGAGGATAATGAAGTTTTTGATATTTTTGTAGTTTATGTTAAGGAAAATGTTATAGCTATTAATATCTATTATATTGTTATGTTTAATGCTACCTACTTGGTTATTACATTCGTAATTAATTATGATATCAGATATAACATACATAATATAACATCACGCCTTTTATCCCCGAAGGAGGCAGAGGTGCACACAAAGGTATCACCTACTTTTCACTATTTATGTTATGAGTCCCATGTAATAGTGGGTGAGCATATTGCCATATACCGGGCAAGTTTCAAGACTCCGTGCTAATACTGAGATTTTTTTTAAAAACTCACTTATACTTTGCCCGTCCCGGGAATCAAACCCGAGACCCCTTGCCTGGTAGTCGCACTTGCGACCACTCGGCCAACGAGGCAGTCACATCAGATATGACTGAATATATCTAGCGACCGAATAACTGATAGGTTACTTAATTTTAAGTCGCGCTTAGAGTATCTAGAGGTCTGTCACTATAAATTCTTTATAAAATGACACAGATGTCACGATATTTAAAAACAACTTAAAATTGAGTAGCCTTTCAGTATTCAGGCGCAAGTCTGTCATTAGTATTTTGAGAGTAAACGAAATAAATAAACATATAGGTAACATCATAACATAATATCACGCGTTTTATCCCCGAAGGGTTGGGCAGAGGTGCACATAATGCCACTGCACAATGTAACATCCACTTTTCACTATTTATGTTATAAGTCCCATGTAATAGGGGGTGAGCCTATTGTCATATACGAGGTACGATTCCAGACTATGTGCTACCACTGAGAATTTTTATAAAGTCAGTAATATAAATATATAAATAATAATACAGTTAATAAAAATATCTATAGAATTATAGTAGATTCAGTACGTACCCACTAACCATGTTCATAAAATCCTTAAAGTGTAATATTAGTACTCGTAGAACTTGTATTAAAAAGTTCAAGAAAACTCTAGAAATAAAAATATGACAATATAATAAACTATAATAAAATATAATAAACTAAAAATGGGATAAAGACATTTTATAATCATAAATAAGGCGTGAGAAAGAGTACTTATACTTCATAAAATGGATCACCATATATAATAATACTACTTATATAATAGCACCTTATTACTATCTGAAGGTGCTATTTTAAAATGTAATCCATTCTGAACGGCGCCGCGGTCTATAACTAGTTTACATGAATAATCCAATCCGCCTACACGTCTATAAAGAACTATTTTAACAACACTATAACAAGCTTGTAAAATACTCCGTTTTATAACAAGAAGTGTTTATAAAAAGCATAGTATGTCACTTAATTAAAAGGATTATTACCTACTACTTCTACCTACTTATCATGATTACCTACCTCTTTGATATTTATTTACTAAAAAAATATTTGAACTGGGGGCTTACTCTTGAATCCAACTCCGATCGATCAACATGGGTATTGTGAAATTTCGTACTCTTGAGTTGCAACACTAGCGCCCATTGCATCCATTTTGCGTGGATTTTTCATGAACTTAACAGTATTGAGTTTGGCTATATATTCCGTGTTCTGAATGCTATTTTAACAGCTACGATATTGTATAGTGTTGACATTGAATTATTATTGAGATTACATTGGATTGAAATTGCAATGACATTGAGATTGGTTTCAAGAGTAAGCACCCTGAAATCGAAACTTTTATATTAATGTGGAAGAAGTATGTAAGAATTGGCATTCCATAGTCTTTGCCTACCCCTGTGGAAGATAGGCATGTTTTTTTGTATGTATTCATGTACGTATGTATGTAAACAAATGTTTATTTATTTATTTATTAACGCTTCATGCACAAAGTGTACACAAGGTGGACTTAATGCCGCAGGCATTTTCTCCCAGTCTGACCTTTGGGTGATGCAGAGAAGAGTGAATGGTAGGAGCAAGAAGCAGGCAACGATTTAATTGAGAAAATAGAAGATTATACTAACATATTTCAGAAATGAACATAAATAAATATAATAGTAATACATATACCTACACACGAGTACAATACAACATACATACATACATACATACATACATACATACATACATACATACATACATACATACATACATACATACATAGACTCATAGCATATAAATATGAACATAATAACTAATACTCTGTAAATAATTAGCGTGATGATTCAGCCAACCTCTTCAAGAGAAGCTCACGTACTTTCTGCCTAAATGTTAGACGTGTCGACACCATCCTGACATCCAGGGGGAGCGCATTCCACAGCAAAATTGCCTGTACGAAAAAAGAAGAATGAAGGAAATCAGTGCGATGAGTGGGACATTGGAGAAGACGGTTATGGGAAGAACGAAGGTTTTTACTGTGGTTTGCGCACAAGTATTGAAAGTAAGGAGATAGATAACTGGGTAAAGAAGGTGAACAAAGAAAGGAGAACAGAGTGGTTAGCGCCCTTTGCTCCCTGCGCTGGCGTATGGGCAGCCACTTTAGTTGCAGCCGATGTGCCGAAACATGATCATATTTACGCAGGTTGAAGACGAATCGAATGCAGTTATTCAGAAGTCGGTCAAGTTTGTTGAGGAAATCTGCATTCAGGTCGAAGTAGCACACATCAGCATAATCGATAATAGGGAAAACCAAAGCCTGCACCAACATAGCCTTCGTAGCGGGAGGAAGTAAGTTTTTCGCACGATACAAAACTCGCAAAGATCCAGTAACTTTTTTGCACACACTGGTGACCTGAGCATGCCACTTCAAATTTTTATCCATATGCAGTCCCAGGTTTTTCACCTCATCACTATACGGGATTACTGCTCCATCGAAAACTACGGCCGGCAAGGAAGCCATGTCAACTCCATTCAACGTGCGGGGGCCACCTATAAGAATGGCCTGACATTTCCCAGGATTCACTGCTATGCCAAACCTATCGGACCAGTTTAGAATGGCCGCCAGGTCATCGTTCATCTCCGAGATCGCATCAGACAGCCCATCAACATCAGCTTGACGATATAGCTGCAAGTCGTCAGCGTACAGATGGTACGCACACCGAAGTTCAGAAGTTATAAAATTAATGAACATAGAAAATAGAAGAGGAGATAGTATACCGCCTTGAGGAACGCCAGCCCTTAATTCACGCCAATTAGACGAAACATCATCAAGCTTGACCGACTGCTGACGCTCCTGAAGATAAGAAGAGAACCAGTTCAGTGGTTTGTCAGAGATCATAAGATGGGATAGGACGGCTAGAAGGATGTCGTGACTGACCATATTGAAGGCATTCGAGAAATCAACTAAAACCAGAATTGTAACCTTGGTGTTCTCGAGGCCAGTTCTAATATCGCCAGTCACCTTAAGGAGAGCGGAGGTAGTGCTGTGACCTGGTCTGAACCCGGATTGGAGAGGACTAATAAGAGAATTCCGGAAAATGAAGTTGGACAGCTGTTTGTGTACACAGGCCTCAAGCACTTTGGAAAGGAAAGGAAGTATGGATATGGGACGGAAATGAGTGGGGAGAGAAGGATTTGAGATTTTCGGGAGAGGACGAACAAAGGCCTTACGCCACAAGGATGGAAAGGTTCCTGAAAATAGGGAAAAATTTACAATATGGGTTATTGCTGGCAGGATGTGATCCAGTACAGTTGTGATCATGTGACGAGAGATATTATCACATCCTACCGCTTTGGACTTAATGGACAGGATTATCTTTCCGACCTCCACCGACTGAACCGGTGCAAAGCAAAAAGGACAAGAAATCTTAGGACGCTCCAGACCATCAATGAAAGATAACGTATTTTGTTTGACTAGACGATCCATGATAGGGACAGTGGAGAAATGGTTATTTAGATCATCTAAGCCAATTGTGTTAGGAAGGTCTGGATATTGCGTTTTACCGATACCCAGAGTTCCGAGGAATTTCCAAATATCGGCAGGAGAAGAAGAAGTGATGTTTTCAAGAATATGGCGGCGTTTAGCGTCTCGTACCATCTGGTTACATTTGTTTCGTGCTAATTTAAAAGCAACCCAGTTCTCGTCCGTGCGATCCCTTCGATGTTTGCGGAACGCGCGGTCCCGGCGTCGCATGGCCATCCTTATACCACGCGTCATCCACGGTGCAGGTGGCCGCTTGACCTTAATCCTCTTAATGGGAGCATGGCAGTCGTACAGCTCAGTCACCAGAGTGTTGAAGAGCGCAATCTTATCATCAATTGTAGTTGCCGTCATCAGAGGCTCCCAGTCAATTAAGGAGGCATCGACCTGAAGCTTAGCCATGTCTATTCGCGCAAAACAACGCCGGTACAGAACCTTGGCTCTCACCTTGGGCGGTTTCAGGATATAGGAAAGGAAGATCATGTCATGGTGAGAAAAACCCGGAGCATCATGCTGACCATGACAGGATACGAGGGAGGGATTAGAGACAAGGATAATGTCAAGCCAGGAATCATCGCCTACAGTGTTGTGGTGAGTAGGATTAAGTGGTAGTAACTGCAGGCCAGATGACTCAACTATGTGCAGAAGTCTACGGGAACGATGGGATTCATGGGAAACAAGGTTTGTGTTAAAGTCGCCCATGATTATGTGATGTGCGTACTCAGAACCCAAAGACTCAAGAACTGATTCGAATTCAGTGAAATAATCAATAGTAGGAGGACAGTAAATAACACCCAACACTATTTTCACCCCCCGGCTACAAACTTCAAGGAAGAGATACTCCGCAGGACAATTGGGAGAGGAAGAAAAAAGCACCTTAAAAGCAAATTCACTGCGGAGATATATACCAACACCCCCACCCCTCCTAACAGTACGGTCGTTACGTATAAGAACATAACCAGGAAGGGGATAGGTTGTTGATAATAACTGTGGTTTGAGCCAGGTTTCAGATATCAGGATGGCGTGTACGTTACTATTGTTGAATGCGTCGAAAAGTTCACCGTGATGACTGGGGATACTTTGCGCATTCAGGTGGCAAACATTCAACACATTAATTTTATCCGTAAAACGGCTATGTATAAAATCCGGCAGGGAAGCATATGACAAAGAGCAAAAGCTATCATTATCTGAATTTGAGTTGGCTGAGGCAAAGGAATCCTCACTGGACATCAATAAAATATTTCAGAGTATGTATTACAAAATAATAACTATATTATAATAATATTACTAAACTAGATCTGATACTTAAAAATAAATAAAAATAATATAAGTATGTTGCTGCAATGATAATTGTACAGATCCACTCTGCACCACCCGCCAGCTAACAACAACACTGAAATAAAATAAAAAAGAGAACAGAAAAAACAAAAGAACAATCAAAGCACTCACATCAAAATACACAACGAAAGTTAAACAAAATAACAAATGACACGAAAAACGAAAAAGAAAAAAAAAAAAGAAAAATATAAAAGTAAAAACAAAGTAAAGATTTTTCTATAAGTAGGTGGGTATAAATGTATAAATAGAGCGAAAAAATAAAAAAAAAAATCAATTGGACCGACCATAAACATTTATGCACAAAAAGAACGCGCTTGAATTCTCGTCATGTCAACGAGAACATGCTTATATTATGTCATCTGTCATTGGAGAGAGTGACACTTGACGACACCAACAATAATAAACATTATAGACAATACAATCCTACCTACGAACACTTTATATTATAATGACGGTAAAAATTAACAGTGAAAAAAATTTACAAATTAAAGTGCAACCAAAGGAAATCATGTATCATAAGTTAAATAAGGAGGTAAATGAAAAGTTGCATAAACATAAGTTACGACTACCTGGGGCCAAGTGAACAAAGACTGGATAACAAAGGAAAGTTGGGACTTAAAATTTTATATTAAATTGAGAATTGAATTGACAATTAAATAACAAACAGGTGAGTCTACATGGTGACAGTTTATCAAATGAAGTAAGGCTGCGAGTTCAAGGTACTTATCTGCGTGCACCTTTCAGGTTTCCACCACCATCAGCATCCTGTTTGGCACCGGTCGAAGACTTGCTGTGCAACCTCGGGTATTTGGTCAGCAGAGGCTTCAGCTCACCCATCGATGTCACCCTACACTTGCTCCCATCTGAGACTTTGATGTAAATTACACCATCCTGCGTCCAGCACGACCGCATACCAAAATGCTGTCGCGCCTTAACGAAAACAGCCTGCCTTTCTTTGGTCAGGAACTCCTTAATAGCAATTTCCGTCCCTCTCAATCTAGTTTTGGCCCGCCAGACCGACGACTTAACCTTTTGAGCGCCAATGTCACATATACGCGACAAGCGAAAACTGTCCCTGGACGTCAACGACACAAATACATGACAGAAAAAGCGGAACCAGAAACACGAATTATTGGAATCCCTATTGTTGATACAATAGGGATTCCAATAATTCCTATTTCTTTCGTAGAAATTTGCGTGGAATTTGTGGCTTGGTGTCGAAGGCAGGTTCATGTGTTTTTGCTCTGGCGTTCAAAAGGTTAATGTCCACACTGGCGAACCGTACAAGAAGAGGCCGGTGGTGGTCAGTGTTACTCTGACCCAATCTGTGGCAGACCTTTATAGACGAGGTGGTGAGGTTAAGGCCCATCTTCGTATTGGTAACATCTATTGCGATAGACTTGCAGTTCTCACCCTCCTTTTCCGGAATGCCTTGGAAAATCAAAGCCTTTCGGCGGCTCCTTGTTCTGATCTCATCAATCTGCCAGGAACACTCAGTGATGTCACGACGCAAGAGCCCCAGCAACTTGTACATGATCACTCGGAAGGTCCGGAACTCCTCGGCCACCGTGGCAATAGTATCCTTGCCTGGGCCTGCCGCGTCAATCTGAGCCTGAACAGCCTCCATTCCCTCAGCGAACATCTCTTCTAAGGGAGAGAATCTCCTCTCCAAGGATTTCTGCGTCGAGAGGACCTCATCAATTTGCGACATTGTGAAGTGTACACAAAATGTTAAAGTGCTTAATAAAGTTGTTGAAGTGCTGGCAGGTGGTGTGCGGAATTAGTTTTATTTACCCAGGTTTATAGCAACCGTAAGTAATGGCTAATAAATCAATTAAAAATTGCTAACTTTATAAACTGATAATTTTAAAATTTCTATAATATACTTTTTAGTCAACGAAAATGACGTGTTACCACTTGCGAATCCAAACCGCGAATCGCAATCGTTTACTTACGCACGAATACTGAAGGGTTACTCAATTTAAGTTATACGTTAGTGAATATCGTGCCATCTCTGTCATTTTACAAAGAGTTTGTAGAGACAGAACTATACTTAAGCGTGACTTAAAATTGTGTAGCCTTTCGTTAGTAGAAAGAAATATCTTCAAATTGATTAGCATATTTTCAATGTAACTTGCTTACAGTAGTTATATTATGAGTCCTATAATGGTTGGTGATCATCTAATCCTACATTAATCACAATTCTAAACCCACAATGTTCCCATCAGTAGACACAATGTATCCAAAACGTTCACAAATCTCAAAAACACTTTGACAGTATCACAAAAATGTGTTACAAATGTCAACATCATCTTCATATCTTTAACCTTCTTAAACTGTCAAACACCGCGCGGTCACCGGTGACCGCAACCTATTGTTCTTTAATTGTGTCTATATTGACGGTGCTCGACGAGTCAAAAGTCATCGCACATTTTCGCTCTACTTACATGATAACAATAGAAAACCAATTTAACAAAAGAATTTTCTAGATCCAGAATTTTCCAATCTAGTGCAGCTAAAGTTGTATGAACAAGTCGTTATAGCAACAAAGTATTAGTGATAGATCACATCTGTCAGTTTATGGTTAAGAAAAGTTTAGTACGTTCGTTCAATACAATACATGTATGGTGGCTAACACATCAACCTACTCATATGTGTCAATTTTTATCATTGTATTTTCGACTTTATACTTCAACTATAGAGTTGAAAATCTAATAAAGAAATTTGACACAAAAGAGTAGGTTAACTTGCTATACCTACTTACCTTCTATCGTATCGATGCCATCTAAACTTTTATACGTATGGCGCACTTAAGTTTGTGCTAATTCTAATGGAGTGTTATTTTATTTTAGTATTTGCTGTCGTACGATCAACGCCATCAGAAAATTAAAAAATAACTTATATTATCAGCTTATTAAGTCTTCAAATCGTACACAGAATTAACTTGTCTTTGTAACTAAAGAGAAACAAAGTAAAACCAGTATGTACGGTAGCCAGCAAGTCAACCTATCCTTTTCTGTAAAATGTACCAATTATATCTTCAACTATACCGTATTGACATAAAGTCGAAAACCCAATGAATAAACTTGACAGATTAGACTAGGTTGATCTACAGGCCACTCTGTACCTAATAATTTAATTTATAAAACTTGTATATTTTTCTCATAATCACATACAACGTAAAAAATAAATGAAATAGTCGCGATTTTTATCTAAATAAATATACAGACAATCTTATCTTTATGACTTCCTTCTTATACAAGTACATAGAATTACGCCTAAAATGGTATACTCAATAGCTTTATTATGTCGAACAGATCTTGGACGATAAATTGCCTAAATTAATACCTACAATAAGATAAGATTACAAAACTATTCGCTATTTAATTTGAGACGAGATAGGCAGTGGTGCACATATATAAAGTGTATCATCCATTTTGTACCAATGTATTCAGGAGTCCAATGTAATAGATTTAGGTTAGATTATTGAATGAAAATACCGATTGCAAATTCTGACATCATACGTAACATAACATCACACTTTTTATCCCCAAAGGGGTAGGCAGAGGGGCACAGTACTGTACAATGTAACACTTACTTTCCATTATTTATGTTACCAGTCCCATGTAAAAGGGGGTGAGCCTATTGCCATAAACCGGGCACAATTCCAGACTACCACTGAGAATTATTTAAAAACCCAGTAGTACTTAGCACGACCCGAGAATCGAACCCGACACCCCTTGTCTGGCAGTCGGATTTGCGACCACACGGTCAACGAGGCAGACTTCATACGATTATTGAGAAAAGACACTTTGTCCAATCTGAAATCCGAACACGGGCTTAGTGAGTAAAAGTCTAACAGCCTCTCGCCGCATCCAGAATGGAGAACTCATTTGGTGATTTTGCTACCTGACTAGACTATATATCAAATATACCCTCTTATATAACCAACAAGTCAATCTAGCAACGAAGACAAACATCTAACTTACGTTTAATTACCTACGTATAAGACAAAACACTCGTCATTATTAACAAGGATTACTATTAGAAATTATCCTTACAAAGTCACTCATTACATTACAACGGTAAACGCACGGGTAAACGCAAGAAACTTTGAACTTCAACTAAATTAAACATAGTATGCTCAATTCATTATACAAACTATTATAATACGGACTGGTATGAATATTCTGCAGATGCTATATTACTATTATATTATGAAGTACCACATAGAGAATTTACCTCTACATATATATACTATGAAATGTATTTCGTCTGTTCTTTGAGTCCAGAACTGTATTTGTAATTTATCCTCCTTTAGCTAGTTATGATTGTAATTTCTTTACAAAAGAGGATTAATATACAGAAATATATATGTATATATGTATATAGAGACGTTTTTATAGGAAATTCAATCCTAGATATCAATTTAAAATGTAGAAAATTTTGTCATTTTGATATAGCAATTCTAGCTATCTATATAATTTGAACAATTTTGACTATCTATAAGCTAATTTGTAAACTGTCACATCTCTAAAGAATAATATAGCCGATACAATATCTTTAACTGGTTTCTGAAAAGCCTTGAATAATTCCAAGAAATCTTGTAATAGATGAAAATTTTCTTATATAATTAAGATCAAAATTTTGTAATGTTTTTTTAAAATAATAGCTCATTTTGGATGGTAAGACTTTAATGATCAACAAATGTAACTTAAACATAATAAAAACTTACGGGTATCCTTTTACTTGTTCCACAAACTAATTGAACAAAAGTTTCATCACAATATTCGTAGCACAATTCCTTGAGAAATTTCAAAATTGCCAATAACTCGGTCTGAACAAAACTTCGCCTTAAGAAATACAAATTAGGTAATTACAAGATATGTAGATATCTTTCGGGAACTCATAGTATACACAATGCACGTATGAAATTACCTTTACCATAATAATTCTAACAAGGTACAGTACTTTCTCTTAATTGCCTTCTCATACATAGGTACCTACATGTTATGGAAAACTTGAGGTGGTGGGATAAAATTAAGTTCTTAATATAATCGTCTGAACGCGCCCATTTTGTTGTGCGGGAATTATATGTCTTGAGGTATTATGTTTCGTGAACTTTAATTTCTGTTGCGTACTTGTATAATTGGATGATACTCTTAATCATGTTTCATTTAAAATTGTTAATAAATCTCTATATTGCTAGGTGGACTTTATAAAATAAATAAACCTATTCGTGTCCATGTAAAAGCATAAAATTGAACTTCTGATAGCTCTCAAAGATCTAAAAGAAACATAGGCTCAACTTTTATTATTATTTTCTACTCAACAAATTTCATAGACCATAAAACAGTAAAACGAATCTCAATAAATCATTACAGGTATAAATGAAAAGTTATCACATAACTTGCAAAAAATTCAATAAACGTAAGATATAAGTATCGATAAAATATTCACACGGGCTCATATACTTTTATAGGATTAGTAATAAATAATAATAATAGCGAAAAAGCATTTTATCAAATGAATATAATAAAAATCGAGGAGCAATAAAAATATCACTATTTTTAGAGACATTCAAAAACAAACATTGAGCTACTTTTTTTGAGACAAGTACCTAAATAGTGTTGCGATTCGCTATTTTTTCCCAATCGACACTCGGTTGTTTGCAGAAACAATTGATTTGAAGTGTACTATACGATCGGAAGTTGATTACTTTTCCAATCAATAAAAGAGGTGGACAAAACTGCGAAGTTCAAACTGCTTGACTTGTTTACTTGTAAAATAGTTTTCCATTATAAACAAAGCACTGAAATTTGCGTACAACTTGTTAATAGTCATTAATTGTAGTAAAACAAAAAAACAAACTCTTCAGGCTTATAATATCAGTATAGATATATTGATAAAATATGAATATCGATCATGCTGTGGCAATATTGTGGTACTTAAAGAACCTGTTACTATTACGCATCACTTCGTACATTGCTTTAGTACGGTGTTAAAACAACGTAAAAGGAATTGTGGTTGCCTCTGCTAAGCGCTAATTTGTACATTTGAAGTTATGTCACTGTTTCACTTTGAATCATAAGTAACATTGACTAGACTCTATTACACCTAAATTATTCTACTTAGTCACGCATTTATTTCAAAACCAAAATAAACACAATAGAACATATAATATTACTTACTTGATTATACCGATCACTTACATATCGTGTATCACTATTCGAGTAGCATTAATTACCCCAGTCACTATTTTAATCGGATCTTAAATATAAAATATCGAATTACTATAAGGTTGTTCTAAAATAATCGTGAGCTAGAACGATTCGATGAAACGAGTTCAACTTACAAAACTGGTTCTATCGAAAAATCTCTCGAATGTTTGTTTGTAAATATTGAATGTCGTAATAAATTGTATTGTGCGAGTAATAAAAACATAATTGGTAGACTAAATCATGAAGTGGCTATTTAAATGTGAATCGTATATCGTTGAAAATGTTAATTGCAAGACGATTTAGATTTTAATTAATGATTAAGTCAATATAATTCCTGTTTTGATGAACTAATTTTTATTTTTAAAACTATCATTTGTATAAAGGATGTGTTTTAAGAGGAAGTGTTGTACATTTTATCTAATTCTCTGATCATTACTACTGATTCAGTGAACAATTTATTCTCCAATTCCCATTTGTTGAAGACCTCTAAATCTGTCAAAATTAGAGTACCACATTTGAATAAGCCGGTTTCCAATAAATCCTTCTAACGAAATCACTGGAGTAAATTCTGCGATTATCGGCTCTGAATACAGGACACTGAATTGTACCTACTGATAAATATTACATAATATCGCTTCTTTTATTTTTGAAGGAGCCACTTACTAAAGCTTCTTCTGAGAATTGAACACAATACGTCTTACGGTAAT